ACTGTTGAACTGCTATTCATCCTTTAATCCCAGAACAGGTGTCTTCTCTTCTTCTTCTGAAGAGCCTTTTGGATTCTAACAGTGTCCACTCCTGGTTTTCCTATTTGTATTATAGTTGTGCAAAATTTTGCCTTCAAGGGAAACTGGTGGAAGAGTCCACAAAACCTCTGTATACATTTTTGGTAAAACTTCCTTTGAATCTATAAGTATTTCAACATTTTTAAAGGATGCTTTATGGATGCTTCCCATTGTATCACACCAAATATTAACAGATATATATTCAAGAGTTGGAATTTAGTACAATTTAAAATTTATACTTCTTCATCAAGAACATTCAGAAGTGTAAAGTGGCATTTTCGTGTAGGTGTGGCAAAGAAAAATCCATGACTATGAGTCCAGGTTGGAGCCAACACCCTGCTTCATGCTAAATTGTGGTAGTTCTTTCTATCGCTTTTGAACATGAACACAAATTGCAGCACAGTGGAAAAGGCAAATTGCATTTTAGTATTATCATGAAACTGGTTTTGGTCTTGTGGCCTCAGGAACTTCTGGTGTCTACAGATTAGAAACTCAATGGTAAACTTAAACAAAATCTGTATCATTAAGTAAGGCAGGGTGTGTTTTTTTTGCTTGTTTGTTTTTATTTATTTTTTTCAGCATATTATGGGGGTAAAAATGTTAAGGTTATGTATTTTGTCCTTGTCCCCTCTCCCCCCTCCAGTCAGAGCTTCAAGCCTGTCCATCCCCCAGTTGGTGCACATCGCACTCATTATGTATGTATATTACCCATCCTCTCCCCCTGCCACCTGCTGGACACCTGATAAATGTTATTACTATAGGTTCACTTAGGTATTGCTCAGTTAATACCAATTTGCTGATGAGGACATGTGGTGCTTATTTTTCCATTCTTGTGATACTTCACTTAATACAATGGGTTCCAGCTCTATCCAGGACAATATAAGAGGTGCTCTATCACTGTTGTTTCTTATACCTGAATATTACTCCATGGTATACATATACCACAATTTATTAATCCACTCTTGTATTGATGGGCACTTCAGTTGTTTCCACAACTTTGCAATTGTGAATTGTGCTGCTATAAACATTCAAGTGCAAGTGTCTTTTTGATAAAGTCACTTTTGTTCTTTTGGGTAGATGCCCAGTAATGGGATTGCTGGATCAAATGGTAGATCCACTTGTATCACTTTAAGGTATCTCCATATTGCTTCCCACAGAGGTTGAACTAGTTTGCAGTCCCACCAGCAATGTAGGAGTATCCTGTATCTCCACATCCACGCCTACATTTATTGTTTTGGGACTTGTTAATAAATGCCATTCTCACTGGAAATAAGTGATATCTCATTGTAGTTTTGATCTGCATTTCCCTGATGATTAGAGATGTTGAGCATGTTTTCATAAGTTTAACATGAGGCGGGAGGGGGGCAAAGGAAATATACGCAACCTTAACATTTGTACCCCTATAATATGCTGAAATAAAAAAAATATTTGGAAAAAAAAAGTAAGGCAACACTCTTTCTCATAATCAGATGAAATAGCTTCCTCCCTGTCCTGTCAAGGCATCCTGCCATTCTCTTCCCTTACCAGGATCTTCCATTTGCTAATAACTTAAGAATCCCAGAGTGTTTACACAGTCAGGGTGAGCAGATTTGTCAGCCATGCTCTTGGCTTAGAGAGGAGAAGCCAGAACCTTCTGTGTCCCCAGGAAGTCTTGTGCTGTTGAGTTGCTGTTGCAGCCACTGACACACGCTATCACAAGCTGTGTGGCCACCCTAGTTGAAAGCACACAGCACAACAAGGTACCGGTAATCTCTGAAACCTTGCTCAAGAACACCCTATAACTTTTTCAAAAAACTATATACTCCTTGTACATGTTAAAAACAACATCTCAAAATTTATCCCATAATCTAAGTAGTTGCAGAGGATATAATTCTGGCAAATTATGAATGCTGCTATTTTAAAATAAAACACTTTCATCATTCTTTAAATGCACCCAGTGAAAGCCCCTAATACCCACCATCATCCATACTAAAACACATGAATACCTTTCAACATTCACCTATTTTACATCTTCCTTCTACCTTGAAATTTATTTCCATACTCTTCCTCCAAAGAATTTTCTCTTAATTTAATATACTTTTATATTTGAAAGTCTTTCATTGGTAATCAGGTCATACTTCTTTGCAATGAAAGTATATAAATTAAAACATGAAATGTTCTTATGGTCCATGTCCACTGTTATAAATAAATATTTTTAAAGTTTCTTGAAAATAATGCTAGGTAAAAATAGTCACAAAGGGCCAATATTGTATCTTTCCATTTATATGAAATGTTTAGAATAGGTAAATCCATAGAGGAAGGAGGTAGATTAATGATATTCAGGGTCTGGAAAGAAGGAAGAATGAAATATGTGGTTGCTTTTGGAGGTAATAAAATTATTGTGGAATGAGATCATGGTGGTAATTTCACAACTTTGTGAATATGTTAAAAATGCTAAATTTTTAAATGAATTGGACAATCAAAAATAGTAAACTTTATGTGTATAAATTATATTTCAATAAAAGAGTGGCTCCACAGAATAAACAGCCCCCACACCTGGTGATCAGGGAGATATTGGGTTAAATGGCCGTGGACAACAACCCTCTCCTTGGCCACAGACATCCCTCAGGGTATGGGGTATTCCAGGAAAAACGCTTTTGGTTTTTGCCCTTCTCTTTTCCCTCTCAAAGTTACTCATTTCTCGTCAATCCAACCTTGATAGAGCAGCTTGGGAAAGGGATGATTGAGAAGGATTTAATGGTCTCTCTAAGCCCCACAGTCAGAAGAAATTACCCTGTTTCCATCCCTACTCAGAACTCAGCTTCCAATGTTGTCTATGGGCCCAGCCTTCTCCCCTGTCTCCTGGGAGACCCCGGAGAGGACAGGTCTAGGGCTTAGTATTTGATCCACCCTGTCTCTTCGGTTTTTTTGTTTGTTTGTGTTTTTGTTTTGTTTTGTTTTGTTTTGTTTTTTGGCAGGGGGATCATTTTTTTTCTGAGAGTACAGAAGAAAAGGGCCTTATCACTTAAGAAGGAGGAAAATAGGTCATTTTAAACCTGATGGCCGTCTTATGTAGTGCAGGGTGGCAGATAAACATGTGGGTATCTCAGCCAGATTTTCTGCCTTGAAATCTCATCTATGCTGTTCACAAGCTATGTGACTCAGACTCTGTACTGTTAAACACAGATGTGTTTTCTCATCAGTAAAATAGGGAAGCAAATGTACCTACGTTAATGAGTTGCTGTAAGGTGCAAGAAAGCAAATATATATTCCAGCTCTGTAAAGGTCCACAGTCATTAACATTGTTCTACATACAGAAACACCATGCATATGCAGAGAATAAGGATCCAGTAAAAATGGACTTACCGACAGAATTCAAAGAACACTTTCCCCCCTCTTGCTATGTCTCACAGTCATTTGATCCTGACATCCACCCAAGGTTGATACATGGTGAGGTTGATAGAGAAATGCTGTGATCCTGACAGTTCAAACAACTTATTTTTCTGTTTCATTTTTATATGAAAAATTAGAAAGTTGCCATTCAAAATGGCTCCTGTCTTTTTTCCACCTGCTCTTATCATTCTCAGCATGTTAAGTCAGTGAGGTAAATAACCGTCTGACTGACCTTGAGCAAAATAAAACAAAGGGCTGGGGACGTAAAGGGCATGGGAGGTAACCAAGAGGATCACTGCCATTGCAGAGAATTTAGGAGAAAACAATAGAACCCTGTTCTCCACAGTTTGCTGAGACATCTCCTCAGTATCTCTTCAGATGCAGAATTAGAACTATTTTCCTGGTTTAACAGAACAGTTACTAGGGAAATTGTTAGGATGAACAAAACTTTTTAGAACTGAAAAATAGTCAATGTCAGCTCTTTAGCCATTTGGTATTGCAAGTGTGCCTTAAAAACAGTTACACATTCAAGAACAGAAAGAACTATTTTTACAACTGAGGAAGTGTACAAAGGGATGGAGCTGAAAGGAAGGAGAGGAAGTCGAAATTTGAAACTTATTCTCATTGGTATTAGAGAGGCACCTACATGCATTTCAAATAAGCCAATGATTGCCAAAGACTGCAGATTTGAATTTTTTCCCACATATTAAAAAGGAAATACATTGATAGAACAAAAAGTCCCATATTTCTTTCACAAATTTTCACATTCATAAAAGTGATTGTTATCCTGGCTGTGAAATCTAAAGTTGGTTTACTGGAAACTCCAACTACAATGGAGAGGGAGTGGCAGAAAGAAGAAAGGTATATATATTCAGGATCTCACTATTCAGAACACTGAGACTCTCATAGGCTTCCTGATAACACCTGCTTCCTCCAAGAACACAGGTGAGAGCTTTCAGATGCTCCACATAACAATATTAATTATTTGTTAGAATAATAACAATAATGTGTTTTATATCATGCATCTATTTAACACTGTCTACTTGTATTTTGCTTTTCTGCAAGGGCAAAATTAAAATACCCACTTCATCGGATTCATCCTTTCAAGTATTTATTTCCAAGTGAACAAATGCACCCTTAGAAGCAGAGTGCCTTGCAGCCACAGAACCTTGAAGAAAAAGTCAGAGGTGCCTCTTGAAAGCTGGCTGGATAGCGCCCACAGAAATTTTCATCTGAGCATTTGTTATAAAGCCTTTCTGCCTAGACCTAGTACAGTGAGCAATGAAGAAGAGATGAAGATGTTCCTTTTCCTGTTGACAAAGTCTTTGAAAATAGTAATTTTGTTAAACTTGTAATCTTGACATTAATATGTGACCTTATAGCAAGCTTGAAAAGTAAAAAGAAGGAAAACTTTAATTGCCAGAATCCTATAACCCCTATATGTCACCTTTTCTAAGAAAATTTATTATAAAGTGATGCTCTATTCAGTAAAGTCATTTTAAAATGAATCTGATGCTTTTCCAGGAGTTTTAGATCACACCAAGGTCACCATGAAGTCACTCAGTGAAGCAAACACCCAGTTTGCTTTAGGTATGTTCCGACAGTTTGGAAAATCAAAGGAGGACAACATCTTCTATTCCCCTTTGAGCATCACATCAGCATTTTCGATGCTTCTATTAGGGTGCAGAGAAAACACTGCACTACAAATTGAGAAGGTAGGTGTCAGCTTTGTTATATTGACCTGTGTGAACGTTGCTATCCATTGCTATGTCAGTGAGCATGCGGATGGCACCAGAACAGGTGGCCTATTGGGTGGCACAGGGCCTCATGGGTGGTGATGAGGCTGATGGATACCACAGGGCATGATGGTTGGCACAAGGGCTAATGGGTAAAACAGGACCTGATGGGTGGTACAGGGGCTGATGGGTACTATAAGGCCTGATGGATGTTGCAGTGGCTCGTGGGTACTACAAGGCCTGACAAAGGTGCAGGGGCTGTGCAGAAATTCCCATAATTGAGTAAGCACTGATTTAAACAGATCTTCTGAATAAAGTTATTTTCTCCCACCTCATATCTCTTCTAGGTCCTTCACTTTAATCAAGTCACAGAAAACAAAAAACAAAGAACTACCGCATATCATGTGAGTCACAAAGTACTGCAGTTCAGAAATAGCTTGGGTATCTCAATGGGTCGTAGTTTAAACTGGGACTTCATGTAAGTTAAGGAACTAAAGGCAATTTTAGAAGTATTCCGGGACAAAAAAGATTGTGACATACAGAGTGCTTTTGCATTTCGTGTCACATAATTATCATTTTCACATTTTGCTTGACTGTAACAAGGTCAGCATTGTACTTAAGGGCATGGGTCTAGAGATGCAAAGGCTGTGTTCAAATTCCAGCTCTGCTCTTCACACATAGCGAACACAGGCAAATACAACTGCTGAGTCACACTGACCTTGTACCAACAAACTAGGGGTAATAATAAATCTGACTCAATACATGCAAATACATGCAAACATTTACAACAGTGCCTAGCCTCTAAAAAGCCATAATAAAAGATATTACCATAAAATAATTATTATACTAATGACAGTAATGTTGCAAAAATAATTTATTTTTCACTGTCATCAATGAAATAGAGAAGAATAAGCAAAATACAATTATATCTTAAGAAATGATACCTGTGAGAAATATTGATTTAGAGCCTCAATGGTGCAAAACTCTTAGCTACAAAGCAGAAGTTTCTAGAACCAGACAGGTTTAGGTTCAAACCTTGGCTTTGCTAATTTATGTCTCTTTAGAGAGATTTGTTTAATTTTCTGAACTTCCTTGTTTTTATCTAAATTGAACAAAAGACTTCCAGCTACCCACGTAAAGCCTTCAGCTGAGTACCAGGCTCACACTGCGCTTACATGCAGAGAATGACCATCATGAGGAAAGAGCCATAAATCACAGTCAATGTGTCTTAGAAGATGATTCCATCAAGGGGTAGAACAGCGCTTCATGTCATAACATACGTAAAAAATTAAAACTCCTACATAATGATATCCTCGATGACTATTAGAAATGAAATATGGTTCTTGCCCTTGAGATGCTTAGAGTTTAGCTGGGAAGTTATACTTAACCATTTAAACCAATGAGGGGACAATTCAGTGGTAGAATAGTGTTACATCTTTAGTTCAAAAGAAAAACGATTGGATGTTTTAGAGCAAGAAGAAAGAATTTACTGGAAGAAGTTAAATATAAGATAGATTTTGAAGAGTATGTAAGGTAAAAATACAGCAAAATCAGGGAATTGTCACAAAAGGTCATCTGTGAGACCACTCACCGTTAGGTATTGACACCACAGACTTAGCATGGGTTTAGTAATTTCATTGATGGGGCATTTCAATGAGGTCCCTTTTCATGTTTGAAGGATGAAAAGCCAGGAAATGTGCATCACCAATTGCAAAATTTCTGACTGAATTACACAAACGCACTGATGTGTATGAGCTGAAGATTGCCAACAGGCTTTATGGAGAAAAGACTTATCAATTCCTTGAGATAATTTCACCTGATCTACCAAAACTTTCATCTGCATCCTGGGTCCTAAGTGTCTGAATGCTCTAATGTGGAAGGGCAAGGAAGATGAGTCTAGTCCTCTCAGGTGGGGAGCATTCACTCAGGGTGCATCAGCTCGATTACCACAACTCCATCCAGGACTCTGATAATGCACCAGGAAAGTGTGGTTTTAGGGATAATCTGATGAGGAAACAGGAGGTGTGGTAGCACAGTGAGTCATGAGATGCCAGTAATATAGAGCACATGTTGGTGGAAAATGTAAGACTAATGGGTATTACCGGAGTGGGCAGGCTTGGGTGAATCCCTGTGGACAGCTGGAGATGTACCAGGATATACTGAAATGCCTGAGGAAGACACAAAGTTGAGAAATGACTTGGGTGGAATTACTGGAAAGAAGCCTCAGAAGCAAGTCTCCTGCTTCAGGGCAAGGTGCTTTGGAGCTTGCCAATCATAGCCTCTTCTGCCCCGACTTTTGCCAGTTGGTATTGACCTGCAGTTACCTCTTTCATGTGCCAGCCTGTACCCCTTTCACGTGGACTATTTAGCAGCTGCACAAAAATAGGCTTGGGCAAGAGATAGTGGATATGTTCAGGGTTTGGAATCAGCTTACTATAATTATAAATAATTAAATTTGGTAACAATAATACATAGCTGTTGATACCTTACCCTTAATTCCTCTTTTATTCCTTTACATCTCAAAACAATATTTAGATAATGTAAATCTAAAATTGCAAAAATTTCTGACTGAATTACACAAACGCACTGTTGTGTACGAGCTGAAGATTGCCAACAGGCTTGTGTGGAATTTTACCTGGTCTGTGTGGAATCTGTTGATTTTCAAAATGCTGCAGAAGAAAATGAAAAGAGGATTAACTCGTGGGTGGAAACTCAGACAAATGGTAAGAGGACTTCTCATTATAGGAACACTTTTGAGTCTCTTGTGTTAGTGTGCTTGACACTGCATGGAGTTCTTAGAGTGGGTGTAGAGATGAATTTGCAGAGTGGAGGCAGGAGGATTCTGCAAAAGATGAACCAGTCCACGTTAATGTGGGAGAGTAAAGGGGGGAAATCGCACGGCAGGGAATCATAGGAAACCAATTGCGCAGTAACACAACAGCAGGACTGTTTGCAGATGGCCCCACATGACTATATCATTATGCACCCCAAGACTGCACAGGCCCATTTCAAGGTCATATCCTTTTCTTTAAGTCAGACACAATTTTTGACTACCAAACTTTAAGAGAAAACATTACAAAGGATCCCTTCTCCTTAACTAACTGGGAAATGAGCAGCCCTCCTTTAAGCCACTCTTTTTACCACCTGAGCTGAAGCTGCAGGGACAACATTTACACTCACTTAGTCTGCAGGGATTGTCACAGCCATCTTTCTCGTGCATAGTAGAGAGCTTACCAAAGGTTTCATTCTATGAACATCCCTCCTACCTCCCAATTGTCATTACAGGACAAACTTACAGCAATTCAAGATTGGAATTAATGGAAAAGTTCCCCAGGAAGTAGTGTCTGACAGCACGGGGCATGTATTTCAGAGCGTAGAGTCCATATTTGTCCTAAATTACAATCAAGTCCTACTCTGTGAAGTTGACTAAAATAGGAAGACAGGAAGGGAGGGAGAGATGAATTCTTAATAGATATGTTGAAAGAGCAGATAAAATCAGTTTATCAGTATTCAGTGTAGGTGACTGAGCTCACCCATAGACAGAGAACCTGCACCCCTTTCCCATCACAAGGAGTGGAATGTCCTACAGGGCTAACTCTATGGGGCAGTAGCCATGAGGACAGCTGAGTCTGGTGAACTGTTGGTCAGTGAGTTTCTAAAGTAGTGACTTGGTGAATAATTAATGATCAGTCACAAACTTTTGCAAAGCATCTTCCAGACAAACCATTTGTACCTTACATGACAAATGCTTCTTTTCCTTTCCTTGCAGGAAAAATCAAAGACCTATTTCCTAAGAAGACTCTCAACAGCAACACCATACTGGTTCTTGTGAACGCAGTCTATTTCAAAGGGCAGTGGAAGGATAAATTTAATAAAGAAGACACTAAAGAGAAAAAATTTTGGCTGAACAAGGTATTGCCTATACTTTATTTATGTGATGTAATGTACTTGTACAGGGAATGTTAATTTTTCTTATTTCAGGATTTTATGGAGGTACAAATATTTTGGATACAAGTAATACCTTTGTCTCATCCAAGCCAGGGCTAGAGGTGTGCCCTTCCCCCATACAGTGTGCTCCTGCTCCATTAGTTGTGAGTTTACCCACCCATACCCCCTCACCTGACCGACATCCAATGAATATTACTACCATATGAGCACCTTCGTATTGACTAGTTAGTACCAATTTGATAGCGAGTACGTGTGCTGCTTATTTTTTCATGCTTGTGATACCTCACTTCAAAGGATGGGCTCAAGTTCTATCCAGGACAATATAAGAGGTGCTAGATCACCATTGTTTTTTGTAGTTGAGTAGTATTCCATAGTATACATTTTATATACATAAAATAGTAGTAGTAATAGTAATAGTATTCCATAGTATACTTTCCATAGTACCACATTTTATTAATCTACTCATGTCAAATTTAAACACATCTTATGGAATGTACCATGCAAAGTAAAACATTCTTATAACTTTCATTCTTATAACTTTATTTAGCTACGAATACCTACAGAAACTCCTTATCCTATTCAGAAAATTCCTGCCTCATTTCTTAGAAAGAGAAGGATGTGTTGGTAACTCAATACTATTATCATTTTTGGCTTATGTCTCACTTGGTATTTGTTTGGCACAGTAATGTATTGCAGGTCACAAGCAAATCTGTACAGACAATGAATCAAAGAAAATCCTTTAATTTTACCTTGCTGGAGGAGGTGCAGGCTAAAGTTCTGGAAATACCATACACAGGTGAAGACCTAAGCATGATTGTGCTACTGCCAAATGAAATAGATGGTCTGCAGAAGGTAAAACCTTGCATCCACAATCCTTCTATTGCCTGCTTTTCTTCCTAAGGTACCAAGTCTAAACAAGGCTAAAGGTTTTGGGCAAAGGAGCCTCAAACTAATGAAAGATTAAAAATGAGGAACAATAATTCACTTTTCTATTACACATTTTTAACATAACACCTGACACAAACTGAAGGCTTCAGCAATTATTAATTAATTAGTGTTATATACAGTGGACCTCAATTTGATGGTATTATTATACAACACTTTACATTTGATTGAGAGAAATATATAGCACTGTGGAAAAAATTTATAAATACATAAAGCAAAAAAGGAATTATAATAGAGTAGACACTGTAATTGCAGTATGTGGTAAGTAATGTATAGAGGAAAGTAAGTCTATTCAAAATTGACACATGTAAGAGGCTGTTGGCATAAGGAATGGTGAAATAGAGTTCATTTAGTACAAATTGATGTAATGAATCTGTTTTTACATATATATACATATGTACATACATATTTACTTACACATATATAATCAAATGTACATATATAATCATGACTGTTATTTTGTTTATTAGAATATCTAATAAACTGAACCTTTTGTATTTTTATTTATTGCTAAAATAAAAACTAATTCATATTCAATTCTCTATTAAGCTGTGTTAGAGGTCTGTAGCTAACCAGGTCAGTTTCTTTTTTTCATTTTTATAGCTTGAAGGTAAACTCACTGCTGAGAAATTGATAGAATGGACAAGTTCACAGAATATGAGCAAGAGAGATGTGGATTTATACTTACCTTGGTTCAAAGTGGAAGAGAGCTATGACCTCAAGGACATGTTGGTGGCAATGAGGATGGTTGACCTTTTTGTCTGCACATGATGCTGACCTCTCAGGCATGACTGGGAGGCAGTTTCTTACAGTGTCTAAAGTCCTACACAAGGCATTTGTAGAGGTCACGGAGGAGGGAACAGAGGCTGCTGCTGCCACCTGCATAGCTGTGGAATTTTCATCTGCTCCTTCTCCTATTACTGAAGAGTTCCATTGTAATGGCTCTTTCCTGTTCTTCATCAAGCAAAGTAAGACCAACAGCATCCTCTTCTTTGGCAGAGTCTCCTCCCCTTAGATGTGATTAGTCTGTAATTTTTGAAAGATGTTCACAGAGTTGTTCCAGTAAACTTATTGCTTGAAACAAGAGGTTGTCTTGATTCATTTTTCTTTTCAATCTCATAGTCATCACCAAGAATTTAATGGTTGAAATAGCATGTCTCTATCTTTCTGTTTCTAAACACATATATAAATCTACCTTCTCTCCAATAAAAATTTCCTTGGGGAAAAATGTCCAACTTCAAGATAATATAAAAGGTTATTTAATTACAATATCTTCTAAATGTGAAATATAATTGTTTGCAAACTATTTAAAATGAACCAAACCAAATCTTACTTTCTCTTCAAACTCATTAACCTAGACACCCACAGTACTTTGAATTTAGGTCATAACTGGGATCCTTCTTACATATCTAAATTTTATGATTCTATAAAATACATTATCAATAAAATAATGTCTTAAATTATTTTTTGTTTCACCTTTTTTCTCTCCACAAAATGCAAGTGGCCAATCACACCTAAAAAAGATAATTTCAAAATATATTAATCATACAGACAGAAAAATTCTAAACTAGAGTAGGGCATGATGAGTCCAGAGTGGTAGGCAGATGCTAGAACATGAAGAGCCTTGTAAACCACAATAAGAAACTTTCTGTTTTATCCTGAAGAGAATAGGAAGCTCATTTCACACTTTGATTATTTGTTTCTCTGAGAACGAAATAAAATCATTGTATTTGTGTCTTGAAAATCCAATTCTGGCTACTCTGATATAAATGGATGAGAATAAAGAACACTCTGGTTACTGTGACATAAATTAGGAAACCATTAGAGTGGTGGTAGTAGAGATGGAGAGAAAGAGATAACTCATGAGAATTATTTAGGAACGAATGGACACAGAATTATGGCAACAGATTAGATATAGGAAAGTGAAGAAAAGCCAAGAAAGACACCCAAGTTTCTGAGCTAGCCAGCTAGATTTTGTTTTGGAGAGAAGAGAGGATCATGGGTTAAAATTAGAATTGAATTTGAGGCTCTTTTAAGATCCAAATAGATTTGTCTGGCAGGCACATGAAAATATTAGTGTAGAACTCAGAGACAGGATATGTTCAGAAGCTCTAAATTAGTGATGTTCAATATAAAATTGCTGAGCTACTGGCATAAATATGATAACTGTACCTAAAGGCAAAGATGAGATGCTAGGGAGAAAGGTTAGATTCAGAAGAGAGGAGGGTCTAGAACTGACATTAAAGTATACCAATATGCAAAGGCCAGGATTGAAAATTTTTATTTTCTAGAAGGTAGCATTATTCATGGATCTATGTTTATCCCAGATTCTTCCCAGTCACTACTAAATCCCAGCTGATTTCAAAAAATATAAATTTAGAGGATTTGACCGAGGTCAAATTTTCCTCAATAGATTTTCCTTGTACATCTTTAATTAGCTTGTATTTCTCTGTCCCTTAAAGTGTATTTTGTAACGTAATTTATGGTTGATGCTTATTTTCCTTCTAATGCCCTGTTAGGTTTCAATAGTTTATGATTCTGGAACCAAGAGCTATCTGATTACCTGCTTCAGACAGATTATAGTATCAGCCCATAGACTCTGGAACATGAGATACTGTGCTATTAACCATGCAAGCGAGTCTATAAAGCATTGAATCATGAGATTCTGTAACTGTCCCAGGTACAAAATGTCCGAATACTGGTCTGTTGCTTAACTGGCTGCTTCACAGGGAAGAAACAAACTAGAATTCTTCCAATTACACAGCACAATGAATAGAGACAAGATGACAGCACTTGTAGTTCATGTTTACTAAACTTATTAAAAGAACAAAAGCTCACAGAATCACTGACACTTGCTCATGGTGGCCAATGGTGCAAAGAATGCTAAGGCTTTAAGATTCATTGTGTTTGAACAATGGTCCCAGACCTCCTGTGCAGCTTCCAGAGAACCAATGTTGATATCTTGCACATTGAAAATAAACACATTTAATGTTTTGGCCTCTCAAGTTATTTACTCACATTACTTAATGTGTATTTATTGGAAGATAATGCCAAATAAGTGGCTGAGCAACATAAGGATAGAATCTGTCTCATTTTACTTTTTATCTTTTATGGAACCTAGGACAATCCTGGCACAAAGTAAGCATACAAAACATACTTGAAGAAGTAGTGATGATGAACCAAATAAACAAATACATAGTGAATGAACAAATGATCAGATTGTGGCTCTGGTGTAAGCAGACATAGCTGAACTGGTCTGTATGTCCTGTCTTCTCCAAACCTGATTTCCTTGACTGCTGAGAAAAATTTCTAGAGGAAACCTGGCCTATCACCCTCAGTGAAGTGTAAATGGATGGATTTCGGCTTATGGATATGGAGCCCAGGGGACCCCATATTGCTCATCTGACAGAAGGAAGAAAGAAAGCTTAGAATTGACCTAACGAGATATGTTGGTGAGAGGCTGAGTCAGGACTGGAACTAGTTAGTATTCAGTCTCCACCTTGACTCCTAGGGCTCTTTACCTAGTTACCTGAATCCATCTTTTCTTCAATGGCTGCCTGTGTCCAACCAAACAAGCCCTCTGTGAAAGTATCTGAAAGAAAAGTATCTTTTCTCATTGAAAACATTAACATACTAAAAAGAAAAAAGAAAAATGGGAATCTTCCTATAATACTATATATTTAATTTTTTAAAGTGAAGGAGGGACTTCCATTCCAGATAAGAAGGGGTAGACTTGTTTCTCCATAATTCTCTCTGCTACATACAAACAGAAGCCCAAAAACTACACAAGAGACAAGAGACAATGGAATATTCCGAAAGCTTCCAAGAAAAAATAAATGTGATTTGTGCCTCCAAGACTGGAGGGACATCACAGCAGCAAGTGATCTAACAGCCCCTTGCTCAACAGAAAAAAAGACAGGGATCCTGCATTTCTTGGCAGCCCAGGTAGGCTCATTGCTTTCCCTGGTTAAACAGTGAGTCACCACCAGGGGGAGGAATAGGAAGCTCTGCAAATCATGATCAGCCAGGGGAAGTTCTCTCCTCTTCCTGAACTCACCTGCCATTCTGAGAGGTACCAGGTGGCCAGGTAGCACCAGCAGGGAGGATCCAGGTGAAGGAGTTAAAACTATTCCACGCTGGCATATTGACTATTTAAATTAACTCTTGAAAACAGCACGCAAAGAAGATAATTCTAAACGTTGTGCTGTTTCTCAAAAGCAGAAGTTGAAATTCCCATGTGAAAGATACCCTGCCTATACCAAAAGAAATAACATTTTTATCCTCAAGGATGAGAAGTTAAAACTAAAAGAATTCTGTACAGGCCCTTTAAAATAACTCTTATCTTTTAAGTCCCCCCAAATAATTTAGTAGCTTCTTTACAATTTACTATTCTTTAACCAATGCAATATATAAGTGACTGCAGGGGCCAAGTGAAAACCTAATTTTGTTTTTCTCCCTTTTCCATGAAAATTAAAATTTTAATTTAAAAAAAAAGTGAAAAGAGCATTATATAAGCTCTCCCTCCCAGATTTTCTTGCACTCAAACCTGAGTATATTTTAGTAAATTCTGATATTATGAGCTGATCCTATTTAAGGCCACATTTTTTAATCTTTTGGCTTAAAGACTTCTTTTCAGAGGATATGCTACATCCAGTTTCAATAAGTATACACAGGGAGGCAGACTCAGGACTGGAAAGACAATTCCCAGGAAGGCTTCAGTCTTTCGGCTATAGTGAAAACATTCGTTAAGCCTGGACTTATCTCTGGACTAGATTGGTTATCTGCTCTTGAGCTCATTTAAGACATATGGGGCCACATGCAATGAGGCAACTTTGCCCTCAACTGCTATTAGTTCTCACACCCATGATGATTAAACAGGGTAAGTTACCTACTGCCTCACCTTTCTGCTTCCCTTTTCCCCCAATTTCCTCTTTCCCTGACATCCATCCCTAAACTTCCTGCTACCCAGGACATGGATTTTTTTTGTGGTTTTAATTCCACCTTTTATATATTGAATCATGTGATCAATAATGTATTTTATATATTTAATAATTTACAAATTTAATCAATATATACATTTATGTTTAACCACTTCATTAACTCTAGCTCTGTTTAACTTCATCAATAAATATTTTATTTTCTTATCTGAAGTTGTCGGAGAGCTGAATCTTTCTGTTTCCTCTGTTCACTGCACCTCAGTTTGTGAGCTCTTCTTCATAGGGAAAGTTCTGTGCAGTCTAGGGTAAGGATATTCCCTCCAGAGCAGTTTTGTATTTGTTTTTGCCAGGAACTCAGGGTGTTATGATACCACTATTTATGTCAGTTTTTTAGCTTGGCACTTCTCACATTATCCCACTAATACAAATTCAAGCCCATGTTATCACAGGCTCATGGTTATAATTTATTACTTATTTATTATCACCATCATTTAGAGATCAAGGCCAAAAATAATGATACTTCCTTTAAATCTTCTTTCCACATAATTAAATTCTTTTCCTAATCCAATACTTCACCAAGCATGTTGCTCATTAAGGGCTCCAGTATCATGCAATTTCTCAGTTCCACCAACTCACTGCATAGAGTTTTGGTGTAGTATCAAAAAGAAATATCACAGTTAATTTAAAAGGCTATGAAAATTCCCCTTTATTTTCTAAAGACATATCTGTATGAGGTCATAACTTCCTCATATACTTGTCAACAAACAAAAACTCAAACTCTGTAAAATAATTTGAAGAGATTTGTTCTGAGCCTCACATGTGCAACCATGGGCCAGAGAGCCATGGCCACGAAGCCCAAGAATCCACTGTGGTTGGGTTATAGTTTGGTATTATACATTCTAGGGAGACAGGAATTACATGTAAAATTATAAACCAATACATGGAAGGCATACATTGGTTTGGCCTGAAAAGGCAGGACATCTTGAAGCAGGGGTTTACAGGTTATAGGTGGGTTTAAAGATTCCTTGATTTGTAATTGGTTAAAGAAATGAAGCTTTGTCTAAAGGCTTGGAGAGTT